AGGATCTCTCTCTCTCTCTCTCTCTCTCTCTCTCTACAGAAAACTGTTAGACACAAGAGAAACAAAAATTAATGAAAAGAAATGTGAAAAATTAAATACAAAATTAAGTCTAAAGAGCGAAAACCAATTTAACATATTTTGTTGATTAATATTCAATGTATTCACAAAACGCTGTGTGCATGATAAAAAATAAAAATACAACAAACACTTAAAGTGTTGTATAAATTTTATCATAAATTATAACTCCATATGAGATGAGAATAACACATAAATCATGCGAAAAATATTCGTCGTATTCTTGTCTATCAATTCATAACTCGTGAAATCAGTTGAAAAGCTTTGCATTTATATCAAAACATTAAACTGACAATAAGTTTAGCTATGAATTGATTTTTCCAAAACCCTGTACAAATGTACATTGGTCACATGAATTACATTGCTACCATACATGTAAACTTAATATTGATTTATACATTTGTATTATATTTAGTATAATTAGTACAATTTTCTAGACTGTTCACTGTAGTGATGATCGCGATTCAATTTAATTTTAATCGTAATTATTAAATAATTTTTGTTTGAATGATTCATTAAGTAATATGCAATTTGTGTGTGTGTGTGTGTGTGTGTGTGTGTGTGTACTGTGTATGTATGCGGATTTCCATATATTTATCATAAATTACCAGCGCAAAATTATTATACGCGAGTAATCATCAAATATGTAATGCATTTGCTTTGAAGCATAAAATTAAGAGCTGTGCACAAAACGCATTGATCGCTATTTTTAGACAAAATATGATTTTTTATATTCAAAAATATTTAGAGTATATTATTATTATATATATAAATTCATCCAACTTAAGGAATTTATGCACGAATATTATATTTTTTTAAAAAGTTTTGTTATACTGTTATTTTTGATATTAGAAAATATTATGTATAGCGTTTGTAAAGTGCATGTGTGCTCTATATTGATAGTAAAGGATTTATATTGTAAATATATTTAAATGCTAACAATTAGATGCATTTTGCGATAATTTGCATAAATGTATGCAAATCACTGTCTCTTTATAATATATTAAAATAGTTAAAAATTTTCTTTTTATACAAACATTATTGAAACTGTATGTTTCAAAAACGAAAATACTTACGAAAATCTCTCATTTTTCATTTATGATAGATTAAAACTTATAAAACACACACAGCTCTGTAGGTATAACTATAGGTCTCATTAAAATTAATGAGTGTATCAAATGTATCAGTTAGACACATAATTACTATCAAATTTCCAGAAGTTTATACGTGAACACAAACAATTCAATTATAATATTAACTCTTAAATCACATATAATTTATCAACAAATTGTTGTTTTCGGGCATAGTTTTACGTCAAATGAAAACATGACATAATAATAATAATATCGATTGTAATACAAGAATAGAAAAAACATTTTTATGTCTAATATTGAAAAATGTGTGAAATTCCGGAGAAAAAAGACATCAAAATTAATAGCAGTAATAAAAATAAGAAGAAAGAGGGAAAGTGTGTCATCTGTTTCAACGGTTTCAATGGTTCCCATAAATTATTAATAAACCGATACGACAACTAATGCTCTGGCTGATATTTTAGACATCTCTCTCTCTCTCTCTCTCTCTCTCTCTCGTCATTTGGTTTGAGTGCTATAACGGAGAAGTTTGCAAATATACTCCCTTTTTATATAAAGTGGATAGAGTTGTAGGAGTTTTTCTGTACCAAAATGTTTGCCAATACTTATGGAAACTTTTGGAGCGAAAGTTACTGTAAAAAGACATTGCGATCGGAATTCCATTCCCAGACACACATTATAGTCGAGAGAGAGAGAGAGAGAGAGAGAGAGAGCCTCTCTCTGACATCAGATCCCATCATCACATGAAGAGTCAATTTAATTGTAGAAATAAAGACGAGTCTGTCATTAAAGTCGTGTAATAATAGGTTTACAAAAAGTCATTCAATATATTCGCCAAGAGTTGTGATCATTATAATCGAGTCATTACTGGCATCACTCTATGCCTTCAATTATTGCATTTGTATTTCGGAGTCAATAGATTGGCATTTCTCTGAGATCTCTGTCTAATTCATTGCCAACACATTTAGGTGTCTAATGTCTACATATATACCTCGCTCGTATATACGTCGCTTGTTTGTGAAAATTTTTAATAATTAACATAATTAAATATTTATCAATAAAAGCACTCAATTAATAATAACCTAGGTTGATGCTATTAGTGAATGCATGAATTCTTAACTAGGAATTTTTAAAGAATATTCTCGCAAAAGTCAATTTCAAAATGATTTAAAGCCACTATTCAACTATATTTATGAGAGTTTTATTCAAATAACATATTCAATGACAGGAATTAATTTCTGAGTGCTTTTAATGAGATTAGAGATACCCGTTAGAGAGAGAGAGAGAGAGAGAGAGANGCATTGAACTTATAGAGCACTTAACGGTCGATGTTTTGCAAGCATTTCCCGATAATATATTCGGTTATATTCGGCCAAAAGTGGTGATCATAACGACTCCAAACATTGAATACAATGTATTGTTTCCGCAGCTGAAGAACACGTCACAACTAAGACATTATGACCACAAGTTTGAGTGGACGAGACACGAGTTCGACAATTGGTGTCAAAGTATTGTAAAAAATTATCCGGAATATAGTTATGAGAAGACAGGTGTCGGTGAACCACCCGAACAGTACAGTGATGTCGGCTTTTGCACACAAATAGCTATATTTCGCAGACATTCAGACACTGATTCCACTGACGATATTACAGACAAATGTCTGAATTATAAAATCGTTGATACCTTTGATTATCCAAAGAACACACGAATCCACAAAGAGATGGAATTTGTTGATTGGCCTTCAGTTTGCAATTAAACACTTAATTTATTGCATTTTATTTTCTGAGACAATATTTAGATAAATTTAGTTTTTTGTTTATTAATACTTTTTTCATTTCCTTATGTATTACAATTGTAATGAAGTACCAATTCATTTGATTACATTGTAGTCACATTAAGAATACAGTGCCTGTACTAATCAATGAGTATTTACAGTCGTCCTGTATTATACCGTAATGTAATCCTCTATTAGAGAAACCGCGTTAATATATTGTAAATTATAACACTTTAAATAAAATTTTCTTTAATTAAATATAAAATTTACATTTAATAAAAAGGTTCCTATACTTCACATACAGTAAGATTGCAATCAATGAATTAAATATTTTGAGTAAAATGCTTGTGATTTAAACATAAATGTGAAATAAATATACCGGTAGAATTAATCGGTGCTAACAATTCATTTAAACTAAACTATTATTCGAGTGAATCATAACTGGAATCACGTTTTGTAAATGTCGTGAAAAGTAGGGGTCGTTTTGGGGACAAAACCGAGTCGTTTGGCGTGAAATGGATTAACGGAGAGCTGAGTACTTTGGATGGTCTTAACGGTGTTCCTCTGAGTGAAGTGTTGTTGGATGTGATGCTCCGGTTAGGAGAGGCCACACAAAACGAGGTCAACGAACGCGGAGTTCCCGAAGTGTACATCGATTTATTGGTTTTGGAGTCAAACTGAAGGGGAATATAGGAGACGACACCACTATTCCAACAGACAGTCAGCAGAGAACCGCTTCGGAAAGAGTCGTTAAATGAGATGTGAAGCGGTATTTCTTGAGGCAATCCGTGAACAAAACCAATTGGAGTCATCTCGAGATTCGGTCGAATCACTGTCTTATACAATGCAATCCACTCTCTGTTATCTGTTTTGAGACCACAATTATTTTCAATATAATTATCAAAATTATTTCATTTTCCAAACCTTTAAAGGAAATGACGAGTCGTTCGCTATTCTTATCCCAAATCATGTCGTGAATACTTCCGCCGACTTTAATGCCGTTCGGGAACTCATGTTCAGAAATGTCGAGAACTTCGAGACAATGACGAGTGCCTCCGACATCATTGGGTTGTGGGCTGTCGTAGAAAGGAATGGCAAAAACAGACGGACAGTCTCTGAGCGCCACTAACAACAGGTGACCAATGGGTCGACTCCAACACGCCGTCTGACAAATACCAGAGAACTGTTGGTTCCATTTGGCTGAAGACCAGCCCTTGGTTTCATAGACTCGGATGTGTTTAGCAGTTGTGGCCGACAGGAGTCTAGTCTTGTCGGGCGACCAGAAAACTCTCGTAAAACAAGTGCCAAAACGACGGATTGTTTTGACGATTTCTTTTTTCTCCACTTCTATGAGACATAACTTCGATGACTGCGGACTACAAGCGGCCAAATACTGACCGCTCGGATCAAACTTCATGTCAGTTAATGGACTGATGGGTGAATGGATTATATTAATGCAATCACTGGTGGGTCGGTATTGTCTTGAGTTGGGATCTAATGTCCACAAAATTATCACTGAATCACAACACACGGCCAGAATGTCCTCACGAGTGGGACTCCACGAAAGAGCTGTTACTTTGGTTTGCAATGAATGCTTCAGAAGCGGAACAAATGAGTTGTCAAACGAATAGATGTAAATGCAGTCATTTATGTGACAAACGGCACACTTGTGTCCATTCGGGTGCCATTGAAACGCTCGGATCAAACCATTCCTCCAATCCATCGATTTATTGAATTCGTGACACAATTCTTCGTTTGACTTCTAAACCATTTAATAACCAAAAGAGACATCAATTAAAATCAAACAAACAGTGAATATAAGATCCAAAGACATACCAAAGCGTACGGATATATAAAGATATAAAAGTTGAGCAAAAGTTGCCACAAATACAGCAATGTTTGGCACAACTTTTGGCTGAACCTTAAGAACCAACTGTTCTCTAAGTGAAGATCCAAAGACATACCAAAGCGTACGGATATATAAAGATATAAAAGTTGAGCAAAAGTTGCCACAAATACAGCAATGTTTGGCACAACTTTTGGCTGAACCTTAAGAACCAACTGTTCTCTAAGTGATAATAGTTGTCGTATTCGCTGATCATCTCAAGAGCTGATACAAAGCCACGGGTCTTAAGACATCGTAAGAACCGCTTCCAGAGAGTCATGTCTTTTGTGATGAATATATTATCAACGCTTTCGTTAGTAATCGACGGTTTCATTATGTCTTCATTTCTCACTTCAATGGTGGGGTATATGTGTGCCTATAATCACATCAATTATCTCATTAATTAGCCATTCATTAAACGGATCCATCGCTCAATTGATTACCTCATCGATGACCACACACTCATTGACCCCGTCTTCGAGCCGTTCATTCACTTCCCGAAGAGTTCTGCCGTCGGATGCGATGGGCGTCGGAAACAACTCCAATGAACACATGTTTACCATTGAGTGGTGTCTTAAGTGGACTCAATTCAGTGATAATAAAGTCGTTATTCAGTCCATGCATTCAAATGTGAGGCAAACGCCGATCGCATGTCACGTGTGTTTGTCGTACGCTCACAAACAACGTTACCATTAAATGTGAGCAATTTATTTGCAAATTTCAATTCTGTTCACAAAATGAATTGAATTTAAATTGAATTTTGTCTAAACTTCGGACCAATTCTTTAAAAATGATTTGTTAATAGAAATCGATGACCAGGTCTTAGCTTCACATTAACCTTGGTTAGACCACCAATTAACTAGGTAATATTTTAAAGTTTGGCACAATTTTATTAGGCTATCAATTAGTAATTAATTTTCATTTTATTTATTTAATTACTAGCATAATTTTAATTTAATAGTGTATCTAGTTGCATTTATTATGCACTAAAGAGTTTAATTCACTGTTGACATTACCTTGACACCATTGTATAACTCCACTAATAATGTGCGTTACTTTATGGTTAGTGATCCGATTAAATTGAAGCTAGTTTATTTTACTTGATATACCGTTAGGCCAATAGGATTGTCATTAATTTGTATCCACTTTTTAGTCGGATTGCGAGTGAATGGAGTGAATGGTGTTTAATATCTATATAGATGTCACTGTATTTAACAATAATTCCCGAGTAATGCTATTATTCAATGCAATCCACTTTTTACCGTAAAATATTAATACCAATACAAAAGGGGATAATCTTTTAGTCTCTTTTAGGCCACTTTTCTTGATTGTCGACACGACTTAAATTTACTCCTAAACTACACTATCATTTTGCGTCTCTCTCTCCCATATAATATATTTTTAAACCTTAAGTCAATGATAGTATTGTGAAAATACCTGTAAATACATGTAATATGAATGGTACGCTATGTATTAGTGCCATAAGAATTTAATACCGATAAACCGACTTAAATAATGTCACAACAAGTACTTTGTTACAAAATTTAGCTTTTATTTAAATATCATATATTTTATTTACATCTGTTTTTTTTGTATTTATAACTTGTGTCAAGTGAAAGTACTTTAGTATTGAATTCAATCACAAATAAATTCTCAAAACTACCGCTTATTTCTAATTAGTTTACAAAACTTATATCATATTGTAGTTAAATAGTTGTATTTTTAAGTTTTAGAAATAACGGTGAAATGTTTACCAATTTCTTGTCTAAAAAGCATTACAAACACAACGAGAGACTGTTTTGTTCAGCATATGTACGATATAATTACCCTGATAGTAAACTTCGAAATGTTAATGTGTTTTATAAAAGCAATTTTATTGAAAAATATTATTGATTTTACATGAAATCAAAGGAATAGTGATCGAAATAATTACAAATAACTCCTTTTGATCGCAATTTTATTGATTATATTTGAATCGAATTAATATTTTTTCAAACTATAAAATAAATGAAATAAAGTTTTTAGTTTTTAATTTTTCAAATTTAAATACAGATCTATAGGAAAACCTTTTTTGATTGTAATATTGCCTTTCATTATAGTTTTCATAAGTATCTCATGTTTACACAGAATTCATATTTCACGCATTCAAATGATTATATGGTTACAAATGTAAGAAATTAAATATTAATCCGATTTATAATCACTGTTTAATGCAAATCAATAATATTCTCGCAATAAAATCATCTTTTTAATTAACTCATAAAATAATATGTCAATGTATTTATGCATTAGTTTGTCTAAATGTCTAAAATGTATGATAAAATCATAACAATAGTATGTATTTTAATAATAAAATATAGTACACATGAGAATAGTTTGAAAAAAGAGTTTCGAGAACATTAGCTAAAGTTATGATAATTACATTGAAATCATTTGAAAACAATTGGTTAGAAAATTCTTCGGAAGTCTTAAATACTATAAGTTCTGATAATATAGTTGAAGAATAATGTTCACAACACTTGAAACTTCCAGTTGCCGGCCTTAGTGTCGGGGTTGTACTCGAGACAGTCATTAGGTGATGGAATGCCTCCATTGATTGGCGGTGAGCGGGCACTCCCACCGTGAAGACCGTGTGAAGACATAGGATTCATATGTGAGCTCATGTTCGGACCATTCATTTGGTTGAGGGCTGAGGCCATTGTGGTGGCGGCGCCTAACTGTGAGTGCGTGTGATGAGGCATCGCCGACATGTGGTACTCCATGTTTCCGTAGTGATAGGCCGACGCCGGATAACTTTGAGGCGGATAGCAGGCGGCCGTCGTCTGCGGGGCACTGCTGGCCATCTGGTGGTGATGGTAGGCCTGCGCCGCCCTTTGCATACAGCTGTTACTGGACATTATGTCAGACACCGGCGCGATGGCCGCCGGACTCCATATGGAACTATATGTGTTGGCACTACACATGCAATGCAAACAAATGATACATTAATTGCAGTCCACGTCCAATGAATTTCATAATGAATACAAACCTAGAATTGTTTGAATGGGAAGTAACCGAAGAACACAACGGATTTCCCACGTTTCCACTCGACGTTATGTTGGGCAGAGCCGGCGGCTTATAGGGCGAGTCACCCCTATGTATGGACGCCGGCGGAGAGTTGGTCGCCGAACCGGGCGGCGGCGGACTCTTTGACTTTTTTGGTCGCGTCTTAGCGGCACCGCCCGTCCCGTTCTGCTGTTGCTGTGCCTGTTGTCGACACTTCGCCCTTCGGTTTTTGAACCAAACCTTTGGTTTATAGAGAAAGTCAATTAAACCTCTATATATCACATACAGTATGAGCGCAAGAATACTGAAATATCAGATCTATATATATACCTGTACTCTAGATTCGGGTAAATTGATTTTCAGCGCAACCTCTTCTCTCATGAAAATGTCTGGATATCTGGTTTTGCCGAACAGGGACTCCAACACATCCAACTGCGCTCTCGTGAATGTAGTCCTCTCTCTCCTTTGCTTCCTCGGAGGCTGATTGGGACCATTGGGTGATATGGCGCCCAAATACATGTCTAGAGAATACAATGATAAGAATAGTTGCCATTTAGAAACAATCTTTTATAAATTGTATTTTAATCGTTATATTGACTGAAAATAAGTTTTCATATTAATTATTCAGACTTTTTAGTCATTTGTATAAAAAGCGTTGACTTTTGTTTGCAATTCATAACTGATTTGTTAAACACTACTAATGCTGTGATTTATAATAGTCTTATAATTTAAAACCAATTAAGTTCTTAAGAGTTACTAAACATATATGAATGCGAATTATAGGCCAGAATTGTGTCGAGTGTAGCCGTCGTTTGATATATACGTTAGAGTTTAGAGCAAAATGTTTTTGAGCAGAAAAACAGCAAACGTTAGGATTGATTGAAAAGTGGTGTATATTCTTGTAGAGTATGAAAGAAATGAATTGTCGAGTAATAGATCCAAACTATAGACTGAAATGAAATCTATTGTTATTTTATATTTGGGGAGCAGTAGTGTAGTATTGAAACAGATTTTAATCCAACTGTCGGTTGCTATCGTCGTAATAATGAATTGTCGAGTAATAGATCCAAACTATAGAGTGAAATGAAATCTATTGTTATTTTATATTTGGGGAGCAGTAGTGTAGTATTGAAACAGATTTTAATCCAACTGTCGGTTGCTATCGTCGTAATGGTGTTCACACGCGGGTCGAGTCGGCTGTAGGCCCTGTCCCTGTCGGTCGAGCCATAAGCCATATGCAGCTGAAGGATTAGCAACAACTCAAAAGGTAGTATAACGAGAACTGGCATTTCGGGTGTATATCGCATACGACTATTCAATTGCTTGTCAACGATGAGAGCATGAAAACTCCATATCTTATATAAGGCTTTCCCTTACAGTCAACCAAACTTAATCCTGTATTTGTGATATTAATAGTTTTTGAGTTATAATATGTTTTGTATATGTATGCAGTAAAGCACCGGTATATATATGATTGGTTGGCGATGATGGCAGCGTTGGTACTGTTGCTGAACTGCCACTCTTTTCATCTTAAGATGAGATTAACGAAAGCATAATATAATAGATTGCATGTAAAAAATGTATGAAAATAGCAGATATGCTCTGCTTTTGCATCATAACTGCATTATATATTATGAGCGAAATAACCTGCAAATTGTCTGATTGTCTGCACCCGAATTGCACCGAGCCTTACAGTGGCCTGGCTGTTTGTTGCCAAAACTCAAAGGCATATAATCTCTATTTTTATATTTTATAAGAACACAAACTTATAATAGAAAAGAGATTAAGTTTTTTACGTCTAATGCCACAAAAGAATAGACATGTTTTCAATATCGCAAACCCTATGGCCTATGGGTTGTGACATAAGGATCATCTCTATTGCAAAAAAAGGTAAACGACTCAACAAGGTAAGCGATTGCATTGTCCACACGAAACTGAAACTGGCGGTCAATATATGCCATACACTGTACTCTATATTCCACTGAAAACATGCAAATAATAGAAAGAATTTCTCAGCTTTAAATCCATACAGACTTCAACCCATCCGCACCTGCATTGCCATACCATTGCCAGCTATACCTCAGCTCCATATCATAGCCATCGCTGGCATTCTTTATGGACACCGAATTGTCAGCAAATCTGGGCACTAATAGCCTACAGTTTCTGACATAATAGGCAGTCCCAGTCCTCCCTGTCCATCTTTTTTAACCAGTTCTCCAAAATGAATAATATGCATAACTAGGCTTTAGTTTAACTCAATCCTAGCATTGGCCCCAAAAATCAACATTCAGTCATACAGAATAGGCTGAAAATTCTGTAAAAACATGACAATTTGTACAAAAATATGCACAAATAAGGTATGCATGATATGCATATGATTGGTGAACACATTTCTAACTTTTCATACTCATAGCTAATAACAAATGCATACATAATGAAGTACTGCTCACTAAATAATAAATGCATTAAAATATTGATAGCATATAAACTGTTAATAAATGGACTATTGTTGTAAATAAGTTTTACATCCATTAGTAAGGAGCATGAATATTAAATTTGCAAAGTATGCAGAAATAAGTAAATTATAAAAATCACAAACAATTTAATGTTTGCAAATGCAGTGCCATTACTGTTGGGCACATTAGCGTGAAATCTCAGCGGAATATCCAATACAATTAGGAGGAGTCGTTCCCCTCTATATATACTTGTAAGTAGTGAACAGTATATAAATAATTTGTGCAAAACGAGCACAAAATGTGAGCTATTTGTCGAGAAAACAGGCAATGAAAAGTTTGGCTGATATATGGCATCTCTTGATAGATAAAATCCCTTATTTGGATTCCGGCCCAACACTAGCAGTCAGTTTACTGAACAAATAACACACTTTTTGTATACACTGTATGTAATTCGCAAATGCAAACCAAATAAGTGTTATTCTTGGAAATCTATACAAATAAAGCTACAAAAAATTTACAATTTTCTACATATTTTTTTCAATACTATTCTAAAGTCAAGAAAACGATTCACAGTATAGATTGCGATAAAAAGAAATGGAGAGAAAGCTCGCAAAACTGGTGAACACTAATGAATGACTGAAAAACCACTTCATTGCAAACTACTCTACAAATTAATGAATGAGTGGATCGACGTATGGAAAGCGTGAACACATTTATTGCTTTCTTTTTATATGATTTGCAATACAATTGTATGAAATGTAAAGAAAGTTTGAGTTTATGTTTCAATTCTGGAAACAGATTTCAATTGTCAAGTCATATGTCGGGGAGTTTTAGCGCTCTTTTATTTTTATTATAACTATTATTCGGTCGAGAATTTAAAAGCTGCCAAAAAGGGCTCATTGTTTGCAACTGATATTGAGTTGAGTTCGCACAGTAGGTCTGAGGTGGTGGTGGTGGCGGAGGTGTATCACATTCATTGCTGGACACCAATTATATTGTGGGCAGTAGTCTGTGGCCTACAATAATCCTAATCCCTCTTCCGGCTATAAGTATTGCAGATTTAAACAGAGAAAAGGCATTGAAAAGTACCGAAAAGTAGTTGAAATCAATGCAAGATAAAAGCTTGTGCTGTAGTTGTGGTGTTTGGTCACTAAAATTGAGACGTTTGTTACCAACTCAACTATACCTACTCCTACTCTACTGTACTCTACTTTTTATACTACTGTTCACTACCTCTCGTCTCTTTGGTCTTAAAACTTTCAAATTGTATTCAAAGCATTGAATCGAGAAAACGTGAGAAAAGCAATGGCCGGACAGGTGTTAGTTTATAGCCATCTCATACTTAAACCCCCGCACACTCTGATACGAGTCTTACAGCTCATATAAGTTACAGTACGACACAACGAAATGTCTGTCCACAGCTAAGCAATAACACACGGATTATGATGTGCTGTCAATATCTACTGTACTCTGCAAACAGACACCAATTTTTAATTTCATCCTTTAGTCTACTCTAACAACTCATGCGTTATATTATACGATAGTATATGACTCTAAGTATATGTTTACTCTTTTATATTAAATTCAATATTTGAAAGCAAACCACTCTTTAGGCTTAACTCTCTAACGATGAGTCGAGTCTTGTTTACATCCAAACAATAAAAAATAATAGAAAACATAGGATTCAATGCAATGACAAGAATTTCTAATCAAAAGGAGAGAGAGAGAGAGAGAAAGAGAAAGAGAGAGAGAGAGAGCACTAGTGACTAGTGTTTATAGAAAAGAGAAATTGAATTGAATTGAAGAATAAGGAGTAAATAGAGAACAAGTGATGGAATGCAGGAATGTCTTGGACAGTGAGGGGTGTTTCTGGGCTTTTAGTAAAACATTTAGACCTAAATGGTTGTGCTTATAATAAACCGCACGTGCGCTCAAATGCATTGACCCGAAATGACCGACACATCTATCGATTGCTCTGTAAAAGTGCTACTAATAGAGAGTAGTGTAAAGAGTGGTAGAGTACGGGTCAGGTGTGCATCCAATGTGTGCTCAGCTGCACTCTCACCCCCTTCCCCCCTACAAGCCATGTCTTTCTTGGCTAACATCAGGTCTCATCTCTTTATTTGCAAATATGTATTCCGATGTATAGATAGTTTGCATACCTATTAAGCAATGTTTACAACCAATCCATTGCTGCAATTCACTGTATATTACATCAAAACAAATAACGAGACAATTGTTTGCAAAGTCTTGCAAATCAATGCAATTTCACACAATTAGGAGCACTGGTATTGCGGTCACCCGATGGGGACGGGGATGTGTAGCAAATACATGGACACATGAACTGAACATTGAATACATGGTGATGAGTGATAATCATAGGACTCACCGGGATATCCGACACTGGAGTGCAAGAGATCCACTCCAGCGGATGAGCCGAGGCCAGTGATGCCATTCATGCCGTAGGGACTGGACTTGAGGTAAGCCATGGCCGGGTGGCCGCCACCAACACCCTGATGGCAGGCGCCCGATGCGAATGGATTACAGGAGGCGGACATGGGCTGGAAAGCCAGATCTGCTGAGATGGTGGTGACTGAGGGCCGAGAGATGTCTGAAACTGTTGTCGATTTGCCGGAGAGCACAGCGAGTGAATCAAGTTGTGCGCGGATGCGGACTAAGGGAGTGGAAAGGGAGGAGATATACACATTTGGTTAGTGTTCAACAAATAGGCATTCACTGGATGTTCATTATATTCATTATAACCACAAGACGAACATCACATTGTTTACAGCAATGCGAGCAATTAAAGCACTAAAAGCGAAAAACTATTCTCTATTATTACTGCAATTCCTGAAGGAATACAACGAATACAAGGAATACCTATCCGTTCACCTGTTTATAGGAACTGTCCATCAAATACACGCATACCTTCACGCAGACTACAGTCTACAATACAGCACTCACTGTCGCAAAGGACAGTTCGGTCACTAGGTAGTCGTACAGAGCATTAGCAAGGTAGCTGAGGTAGCATAGGTAGTAGGTGTAGTGTGCAAGGGAGTGATAGGCATAGGACAGGCATATGAGGCCCGGGAGTTGAAAGGATATGCAAACACGGATATGTCGTGATATGTGGTGACGCGTGCAATGAGCCGAATGTGAAAGTTTGCATGAATTTCAGGTTTTGCACTCTTTTACTGTGAATAAAGGCTTTGTCCAACACTTGCAATACCAATATTGCCAGTATTGGCACTATTGTGGGCACTGGTAGATACAGCTATGCACACAACACGACAACACTAAACACTGATACCAATGGACAGCTATTTATGCCTTAAAACTTTTGAACTCTAAGATTCCATTGTCAGCCTAAATGCCTGCCGGCGCTGATGACCAGCTTATTGCCAATGCATGTAATGCACGGCACATACAGCACACCAAAGGACATCACTCTCTATATGCCGTGAATTGCAAACATACGGATCACAAACTGATAGCAAACACACAATCTTTGTATTTTTTGTCTCAAAATATTAGTCGATATCAGAGGAGTTCATCAGATGGCTGTCCCTTAAGAACAACAACAGTATTGAAGTATTATATCCGAAGAAATACTTGAAAAACTCATATTTTATAAGAAACTGGTATTCATTTAATCCTTCAAAGAGATGAAAGCGCGCCTCAAATGAGACATTCATTTCTTAGCGGACATTAAGCACCACAAGAACAACAAGAAAATATCAGATCAAAAGATTTTTTATTCACCGCTTGAGCTAAGCACCGGTAGGTATGCGGAGAAGTTTCGAGACGTTTATGATCTACTTATTAATGAATAACTAAAACATACTCTCAAGACAAACATGATTTGCATGAAAAACAAAGTGAGTTATGGACGCAATCATCAAATTTGTTCATCTCTTGTCATGACATGTCTGTCCCGATCTCTGTTATCACAGTCGGGCCCAATCTGCCGGCGCTCTCTCTTTGTTTGATTAGTACCACTGATTCCTCTGTCAAAAGACACGACACATGTATTCGTCGATAAGAGAAACACTTCGTTATGTTTTTTAAATGTTTTGCTAAACTCATAGCTAAAGAAGAGAGAGAAAAGCCCTCCGGAGGAGCACTCAGAGCCCGAGCCTCCAGTGCCTCAACCTCTCACTCCCAACCGATTTCTTTCAGATTAAAATACATTTGATTGCCATTGCTGTCGATTGCATATACAGTATCTGAACACTAGATATATACAAACGATGACACAATTGAACATAACATAAGGCCTGTGCTCTCTCTGGGCGGACCACACCTGTAAAGATTGTTACAGAAGTTCGCAAACATTTTCTCCTGAATACAGTTTTTGGTTACGTGTCGTCCCATTAGCTCTTATCAAAAGCACTGGTCTTTGTATGAAAAAGCAAACACTGAATGAGAGCCGCACTCATTGTTTAGTTTAGTTTTTTTTGTGTCACTTTATAACTGTCGCCAATTTCAATGAGACTATCAAATTCCCAAACTCTGACCAACTTTTCATTTTCATCACACAATTTCGTCAAATTTATTCTCTCATCTCTACTCAACACTTATATTACTCACCGAAACACTGCTTTTATTGATATTATTTAATATTCATCGCTATATGTGGCTCTCGTATGGCTGTATACATACTCAGGGAGACTTTGCTTTGCTATATTATAAAGTGGTGCACCCAAGGAGGGTATCAATATTACATAATCTCTTCTCTTTCATGTTAAGACCCCTTATTATACAATATAAGACACGATTTTTTAAAAAACTTATCGCTATACAAAATTAGCAAATACTGATTAAAAAATTAAATACATGTAAATGTTTATGGGATTTAAAGATATAAAGTATGAGTCCATAACTGGCCCCTCAATGGTAGGACAATTGTTACGCAACGACTTTTTATTATTAATTTTTGGTCAAATATTTGCTTAACTCTAGCTTTGGTAGAGATTTACTGTACATTTAATGTATGACACGATAACCGCATTCATGGAAATGATTTGGCAGACAATCCCCGCAATAATGTTTCGCTTGAGTATATGAGTTGAGGGGATGGGAGCAAAGGGAAAGTTGGCAAAATTGGAAACTAAGTGTCTGAAAGGCGACCGAATTGTGGGTACGATATCTGCTGGAAACGGTCTATGAATTGGTATTGCGGTGTAATATACTGTAGTGAATATGGAGTTCAATATAGAGTATGGGATTGGGAGTATCGGTGTTGAGAATCGGTAGTCCAGAGGCTAATGTGTAAATGCGAGTGCAATCACAACTTCCCTATTTTCTGCTCCAACAGGTCTTAATGGAAAATAATACACTTTTAGGCGACCATCAGATGGGAAACTTTCAAGATGTTAGCCTTAGCTGATGGCACTGTTATGTTTTGTATAAACACTATATACACTAAAATACACTCAATTCATAAATTGAGTTCACTTTTGGGATACATTTTGTGTGATAAAAGCGCTACAATTCTTGTGCTACAAATAAAACTTAAAATAATATACAATAATAAACTGCATAAGAGCTCTCAAATAATGGGTAAGTAAATCATGAATGGATTATCAATGAGTAGTAGTACTGCTATTAGTGTGCAATAGAGGCACAGGTCTGCCAGTGGAGTGCAGTAACAGTGCTGTTATGCCAATGAAAATGAAATTTTAAGGATAAATTGATTCAATTATTTGATATTTTAATCCCCGTTTAATCCCGACGTAAGAAAGCGAAGTGAATGGTAGCGCTCCAGTGCTACCAGTGCTCGACTGATAGCAAACAGGGATCGGAGTGATGGAGAGAGTGAGTGGAAAGACTGTTAGCTCTGTAAGGACTGGTAGCTCTCACTTTCATTAAAAATAAAAGCGCAACAAAACTAACTTTCTCTCAATTTAAGAGGATATAGCATACAGTATAGTATATGTTATGCTATGCTATGTTTACACATTGTATGCAATTGACAACGAGTTGTGTAAATGATATGATATAACACGAGTCAAAGTCGACCAACCAATCAATAGGAGCTAGCAATCGACATAATGTTAAAATCAGTGCCAAACAAGTGATGAAAGTAACGCATTATTAGGATTATAGGGTCCGACAGTATAAATAAGACTCACTATTTGTGGACTCTATGGAAGTTCTGGTAGAGTCTGATAAAACAGCCCTCAGTTATGTCAGAATGTATGGCAGGACTCAGCTGAGCAAACACTGCTTAACAATAGGTAGCAAAAAGTGAGTCCAAAACCAAACTATAATAAACTATTACAACAGCCTTCACATCACTCTGTCATCACATGACTTCCACATCTCATGTCGGCTCACAATCGCCACAATCGGCCACTATTTGCAACATTCACTCATACAATCACTACAACTCCGACCATATTCTGCATACATATGTACAGAGAATTTGAATTAAAAGAATACATTTCTCTCTCCCATTCAATGCAATATTCATTTCATACGATAGCCTATGGAATCGATAACAGAATCCCAATATTTCAATACATATGCAAACCTAATCTCTATCTTGTTTTCTTGTCTCCCTTTCAATCGACAGAAAACTTTTTATTGAATATGTTTTGAGATGAGAGATGAGATTAGGGCTACACTGGGCTACAGGCGATTCGTCAACTCTATTCCACAGTTGGGTTCACAAAATCATATGCTTTTAGAGATAATAAAAAGTACCGAAAAATTTGCTGGTAATGGAGACTCAATAATGTATTATTGATATTATTATTCAGTGCAGTATACGAGGCAACTGGTTATCGGGGATATACAGTACGGCACTGTTTATTAATTCTTTGCATTTTTATTATGCAACACAAATTAATGTGGATTTTGTTTTCAAGAATTATTTATAATATAAACAAAGTATAAGAAGACATGTAATACAATATACTATTATATTAAGTCTTAAAATGTAAGCTTAGATTTGATTTCAATGCTTAACAGATTATAATGGTTTACACACTCTTATACAGTATTATAATTATAGCGATTAATATATACTTAAAGTCAATAGTTAACAGCAAAGGTGTGTTAATATCAATGACTTAATAAAATAACTCAATAATGAGAGAGAGAGAGAGAGAGAGAGAGAGAGTTGCAAATGAATTTCTCAGCGACTTTTGGCTCAAATCTATTCATTTGAACACAACCATCTGAAAGTATAAACGCATGAACAGTATTTGCTAATTTTGTATAGCGATAAGTTTTTTTTAAAAATCGTGTCTTATATTGTATAATAAGGGGTCTTAACATGAAAGAGAAGAGATGAAAAATTTTAAAACAAAATACATAATATATATAAATATGAGATTAGCAACAAAAATAGCGAAAGTTTATATTGGAATTAAAGTTATAATTAATATGATTTGGTTTATAAACTCACCCACAAATAAATTGCTCGGTCAGTCGATTCAAGCGGATTAATGCCGGCAAAGGGGGGGCCGGGAGTGGAGAGACACACGAGAAATGTAACTTTTTTGGTCGTACTTTTAATCCTAACTATAAGCTTATGATTTTATAAAGCCTTAACTACCGCAAAACGGCTTCAATTTAATGCTTTACTCAATAGGTTCTTTACCTACTGGTGCTAAGCATGTCTTGTTAACCTTGTTATGTGTGTTGAGCCACTACTACCTAAACTCCTACTATAAAGTCAATGTATGTGATGGATAGCCAAAAGGCGGATATAATATAGCATTTCATTGCACCGACCCATGTCTTACAGGCGCCCAATAAGACTGTTTGCTTAGTCCAGAGGTCGACGCCTACCCCAGGCTTTCAGCAGCACGAGTGCCGAAGCTATCGAAAGGGGGAAAGCATACCAAACCATACCATACCATAGCATACCATACCATACCAGCTCTGTATTGAAGACTAAGATAACACTTAAATAATTGCAATTTATTCAGTGCCCGAAACTGTGCAATACATCGAAAATTGTTTGTCGATGTAATTATACAGCAATACTGGCAGTGATGACAGCAAACATCACTCCATTCACTATTATGTATCCAATCGTTATCTTATTTTTGTTTCAATTCTCTCCCTTTTATTTGATAAGAGATTTCTCTCTTTCTTTTATTTTCCGTTCACTTCTAAATCAACACATTTTTATGATTAACAAAATTCTTAATCTCATCGATGGCTCAGATTCTTGTGCTGGCAGTTGGAGAGGGT